TCACACTCACTCCAAGCCCATTTCAGGCCCAATAATTTTTAATTTTTAATCTCTCTCTTATATCTATATTGATAAATTTCCAACTTAAAAGGTAATTAATTGGAGACTTATTTATGGGTTTTTATTATAAAAAAATAAATAGTGTATATTTATGCATCATTAAACACAAAATTAAAGACATAAAAATTTATTAAATACCTTTTGGAGTGGGAAGGAAGGGAAAGAAGGGAAGGGCCCCAAAAGAAAGGAATATGGAGAAAAGCAAAGTAAAAAGAGTGTAAATGTGGGACAAGAATCGGGTATGATGGCGCCTCTGCCTCAGCCACAGCCTCAGACTCTGGCCCTCTGCCTCTCTCGGTCACACGGTCACAGCACTTGGCTTTTTGCATTCAATGAGTGAGATACCAAGTCGAAATATTTTTTTATTAGAATGTGAAAACTTTTCTTTAATAGGCGCGGATTATGGAAAGTAGAAGGGTAGATTGTGTTGGTAGAGTAATTGGGTAGGCGTTTCCCATTCAAGTTGAGGTGTAGTTGGGGAAAGGAAAGGGTTGATGATTTTGTTGCTTTTGTACACAATTTGTGATGTAATTTTTGTGTTGAAGAACGCTGTTTTCCGTGGAACAATGATTTGGGTGATCACGTTTCTACTTTTTTCTTTGGAGTGATGTTTTTTGTTATTAAACAAAGGGGGAAAAAGAGAGAAGCTGAATGATACTCTGCATAATGCAGTGCAAAAATTGTGTCCTAAATCTTTCCCCGTCTTTTTCCTCTCTGCAACTCTGTTTTAGGCTGCATATCGACACTGACACCCAACAAACCCGCTGAAACAGGGGACACCCACCACACTTACTTCTACTCCTCATTCGATTGCTGATTATCATATCAAAATCACACCCTAAATCTAATCATTTTTGTTTATGGCACCTCTTTCTCTCTCTGGGTTTTCATGGTTTTCGCCTCACACACCCATTTCATGAGGATTCACTGTCTGAATTTTTCCGATGTCGACAATCCAAAACACCCACGTTGTCGCAATGGAAGAAGAGCAAGAAGAGCGGCCTTCCCGGGTTTCTACAGCTGGGACTGACGCTTCACCGGCGTCTGATGATGTGCGGCGGTGCTCGGTCCAGTCGAGTGCTGAGATTGTGGGGGCGGCGGTGGAGAAAAGAAGGGGATCCTCTGTGTCGGAGTGCTCTGTTGAGATGGATCTGGAATGTGGGTTAGGTGAGATTAAGGTACATTTGGCCAAAATGGAGAGAGATTGCCGTATTTGTCATCTGAGCTTGGATGCTACGAATCATGAATCTGGAATCCCCATTGAGTTGGGCTGTTCTTGCAAGGATGATTTGGCTGCTGCTCATAAGCACTGTGCTGAGGCTTGGTTCAAGGTTAAGGGTGACATGTAAGTTTTTAGAACAAAGCCCTCAAGTTTCATTTCTCTTATCTCCTGAGTTTTGTTCATATCTAGTGTTTAATTACATTTCATGCATTGGATATACTGAATGATATAGTACGAGAATCATGAATAACAACTTTGTTTTCATCATTCAAACTTGTAGCTACGCTACACATTTGAGAGTATGTGGTAATCTGGACTCTTGCTTCTACCTAAATCCATCAGCCTTTTTTCTTACAAAGCTAAATCGAAATGGGACCGAGATCGCATTTGATTGACGAGACGACTGCCCTCGGCTTGGAGGTGTTTCTTGCACAAGAACTTACCCTTCCATCACCTAAAACATGCTCATTTCATAGCCTACACATACTCTTGCTTGCTTTAGTCTGATGCACAATTGATTGGAGCCCTTTTCTTAGCTGGGTTGAAATGTTTGAATGTTTCTTCACTGCTTCATTGCATGATGTTGGTATCTACACAAGTATAAGGAATCAACGTTTATTCCAAAAATGTCCAATCAGTGAGATTCTTTCCTGTTTAACCATCTTTGAACATGGATTGATATATAGATACTTACAGATACTATCTTTGAACAGGATTATTTTCTCATTCCTCGTACTATATCTTCATTGTGTCTTCTGCAGAAGTTTGAAATCTTTTTCTGTTCTCTTATTGAACCATGAAGAATCTATGAGCATATCAGAAGAACTGAGTTAATATAGTCGAATTTATTAAGAAATTTAAGCTTTTGTGTGAGATCCCACGTCGACTAGAGAGAGGAACAAGTGTCAGTGAAGACGCTGGGCCCCGAAGGAGGGTGGATTGTGAGATCCCACACATCAGTTGGAGAAGGGAACGAAACATTTTTTATAAGGGTGTGGAATCCTCTCCCTAGCAGATGCAAACGCGTTTAGAGGGAATCCTGAATCGGAAAGCCCAAAGAGAATAATATTTACTAGTGGTGGACTTGGACGGTTACATTTTGAGACCCTGCTAGCAACAACCCTATGTAGTTTGGCTAGGAATTTGAATGTAAAAACCTTAAAGGGAAGCCCGAAAGTTTGAACGTTTCATTCTCTAGAAGATAACGAAAAAGGAACTTAATATATGCCTTTTGTCTCTACTTGCTCTTACCCATCTGCAATTTGTTGCAGCACCTGTGAAATCTGTGGATCAATTGCACACAATGTTACTAGTACTTGTGAAGCTGATTCGACCGAGCAGTGCAACGAGTCGAACGATGGAACGACAGCAACCACTGCAGCTGCTGTCGTGGTGCCACCACACTCTACAGAGACTCGAAACTTTTGGCAGGGCCACAGGTTCCTGAATTTCTTGCTTGCTTGCATGGTTTTCGCCTTCGTCATATCATGGCTATTTCACTTCAAAATACCCTCATAATGAAAACCACACTTGAAACGAGGGAGCATCAAACCAAAAAGATTGCCAAAAACTTCATCCCTCATCGTCTGCAACGACCGAGTCGTGGTTCGTATACTGATCTTCTGTTAATATGTATTAGTGTTAGAGAACTGAGGAAGAAGACTGGTTTGTGTATTGTATCATTGGGGCCTCGTGTTGTTTTATGGCACTGAAAACAGACAGGTTGGATTAATGTTTGAAAAGATGCTGTAACGATTCAGCTAGCTAGCTGGATTGCCCATTTTCTGTTCTTCATGCTGTTTTTGTCATGTCGTCTCTCGTTGTGGATAATTCTCTGTTGAGATTCCGACATGTAGTTAGTCCCTTCTAAAACACTAACTCAAAACCATTTATATTTATAGTAAAAAATGATTAACCTAAAATGAAAATGACAATGTAACATATAAAAGTTTTCTTTAAGAAACCATTTATACCAAAAATTTCCATCAAAATGCATTAATTAGAAAATAAGTATAAAGTTTGATTATTTTAAGAGTAAAGATTAGTTTTAATGTGAATATAATTAAATTAAATTAAAAGAAATGGGGGTTTATTTATTATTTATTATATTTTTTTTTTTTGAAGTAATGAAATTGAATTATATAAAAGAACGTGGCGTGATTGGTGGTGACTGTGCTAATACTGTTATGTCTAAATCTGCTATTTTCTTATTCTTTTTAAGGTTTTTGTTTTTTTTCATAATTATTATAAATAAATTAATAGTTTTAGATTTTTCTTTTTCTTTTTTTAAGATTTTATTTCTCTTTCCTAGTAAGTGGTTGGTCACTCATTTTAGATTAATAAATTTGATAGAAAATAACAGTGATCTGGCGAACAAGGATTATGTGACACCTCACACCATACCTTATAATAAAAAGCATATAATAAAAATAAATAATATAATAATAAAGCATAGGCCAAAAAGCATCTGCCCTGCGTATCAGATTTTCCATACATGAGAACGTGCACACCATTATTGATACCATTAAATAATATATGCTATGATTTTCGAATTATCCGAATATTTATATATATATATATATAGTATTGATATTATAGCATGGTTTTTGTCTCTTAACCCAGCCACACATTAAAACTATATATTATAAATATGAATTCCAAATTTTTGATAATTTTAGATTACGGTTGTGCTACTAACCACTAACCACCCAGCATTTGCCCAAACTCAAATCTAAATGTCGGCCGCTTTTCTGGGCGTCGAGGGTGCATCTCTCGCCGTCGCCGACATGTCGGATGGGGTTATTAAAGATTCAAACACTTTTTCTTTTTATTAAAATAAAAATAGCTTTCTATTGAGAAGGAAGATCAGAAATATTAACACCTAAATAAGGAGTAAAATTAAGTTAATTTGAAGGGCATCGAGCCACCGATCGAAAGAAAGGACACACTTTTGCCAAAGTTCGAGCACTATCGACACTACTGGTGAATGCAAGACTTAGCAGTAGGAAATTAATTTAGAAAAATTTAGATATGAGGTTGAATTAGGAAAAGAAAAGGAGTAAAATAGAACCCAATTAAATACAAAAACCACATTAAATTATGGTTTAAAGAACATTAAGTATTAAAAATTCAACACCCAAAACTGAAGAATAATGGAATTTGAAAGCAAGGAAAAACATGGTCAACATAGCAGTTGAGGAAGCCAGTTCATGATCTCCATTATCAACTTGGAAAAAAATGAACACAAAACAAACTAACCCCGTCAATTAATTACTACAAAATGTTTGCCCTAACCATGTATATAGAACCGAAATTGATGTAATCGATCCAAGTTGTCAAGTCAACATAAATGCTTGATTGTTTATGGTTTGTGGGACTGAAATTAAGTCCATTTTTAAAAATATGATAATTTAATTGATGTTTTTATTCCTATGATTAAATTGAAAGAATGGAACCAAATTGGTAATTAAAGTATAATAATAACAGGAAAATGAAAGATATTGGCAAATTTTAATAGTAAATTACCAAAAAGACAAGTTTCCAAAGAGAGAGAGGGAGGGAGCGTGCAAACACGACATGTACAAAGCGGAGCACGTTAGAATGAGGGGCCATGGTCGGTTGGTGTTGCAATGCCATCCTTCCTTTTCATTTCCTTTCTTCTCTTCTCTTCTCTTCTCTTCTCTTCTCTTCTTCTTTCACTTCAAACTCCCTCAATAACCTCTCTCTCCCTCTCTTTCTCTCTTTCTCTCCGATGAGGAAGCTTTGTCCCAACTTCGACCGGGAAGACGGCCTCGACACTGTCCTTGAGGTTCCCATCCCCGAGGAGATGTTCTCTTGCAACACCAACAAAGCCCACGCTATCTCTTGGCAAGCCATGAAAACATGGGTCAAATCCAACCAGCACCACAAATCCTCACATGTTAATTCAATCGCCTCCTTATTCGGCGGCCGCAACGCCGAGATCCAGCTCCTCCTCGGCGTCGTCGGAGCTCCCTTAATCCCACTCCCCATCATTTTTCACCACCAACCCATTACTTGCAACATCAAAGACAATCCCATTGTAAATAAAATTCATTTTTTCTCAAACCCCTTTTCAAATCTCAATAAACCCATTAATGTTTCTTTGTCGTTTTTTTTTGGGATTTAACAGGAGGCGTCAATGGCGAAGTACATAGTGCAACAATACGTGGCCGCAGTGGGAGGGGAGCATGCCTTGAATTCGATTGATAGTATGTATGCCATGGGGAAGGTGAAGATGGTGGCGTCGGAGTTTTCTTCCGGCGAAGCGTGTTTGAATGGTAAAGCGACGAAGGTGAAGAACGGGAAAGGCGGCGGCGGCGGAGAAATGGGTGGGTTTGTAGTGTGGCAGAAACGGCCGGAGCTATGGTGTTTGGAACTGATGCTGTCGGGGTGTAAAATCAGCGCAGGTAGCGACGGGAAAGTGGCTTGGAGACAAACTCCTTGGCATCACTCTCATGCTTCTCGTGGCCCTCCACGTCCGCTCCGACGATTCTTGCAGGTAAATTAATTTTTATATTTTTAAAAATAAAAAATAAAAAAAATAATATTATTCGGAGTTACTAAATTATAAGCGTATTTGGTGGAAAAGCGCTTCAACGTGCTGGCTACCACGGTTGAAAATAATCCCCCCACCAACTCTTCAAAGTACTGCATTTTAACCTAACAATTTCAAAAAAAAAAAAAAAAACTGAATGGGCCGGAACTTGCCTTCAACTTCCCGTCTTGGGCCGAAATGGCCCAAATATATCATGGGCTTTTCTATTTCTGTCTCCGAAATGGCCCAAACAGATGATGGGCTTTTCTCTGTCTCTGTCACCGAAATGGCCCAAACATATGATGGGCTTTTCTCTGTCTCATCAAATTTACTGACCTAGAAGATTTGTTTGACGCGGCAGGGACTGGATCCAAAATCGACGGCGACTCTGTTCTCAAACTCGACCTGCGTCGGCGAGAAAACGATCAACGACGAAGATTGCTTCATTCTAAATCTGGAAGCCGAATCGCCAGTCCTACGCGCAAGAAGCAGTAGCAGCGTCGAAATAATCCGCCACACAGTTTGGGGATATTTCAGCCAAAGAACCGGCCTCCTCGTGGAGCTAGAAGATTCGCATCTCCTCCGAATCAAAGCCGGAGGATCTCGAAACGACGATATATTCTGGGAGACGACAATGGAAACCCTAATTCAGGACTACAGAACGATCGACGGCGTAAACATTGCACACGCTGGAAAAACAACCGTCTCGCTTTTTCGATTTGGCGAAAGCGCTGAAGGCCATTCGAAAACGAAGATGGAAGAGACTTGGGAGATCGAAGAGGTTGATTTTAATATCCAGGGTTTGTCGATGGACTTCTTTTTACCTCCCAGCGATTTGAAGAAGGAGAAGGAAGGAGTAGGTGCAACGAGTAATGGAAAGTTACCGTTGACGATGAGATGTGCGGCGTCTGGTTCGAAGATTTGTTCGAGAGTGGCGGCCATTGATGTCGATGAATCGGAGGGCAGTAATCAGAGTGATGAAGATGAAGAGGTAGAGCCGTGAAGAAATACATTTAAATTTTGAAAATCAAAATTTTTGGAAATTTGTACATAATCCATGATTTTATAGATGTAAAGAGAGAGCTCTCTATTTATAGACCTTTCCGGGTATGAAGGCCTGGGCTTTAATGGTTTTGGGCCCAACCAATAACTTGGGCTTTATGAACTTTGAGCCCAAACCCTTTGAACTTGGGCTTTTGGCTCCCCTTCATTGTGAGTATATATATTTGGAATTAATTTTAAATTTAAAAGCATAAGGTTAAATTCAAATAAGAAGATGGGGGTGGGCAGAGAGGACAATTTCAAAATTCGACAATCGAAAACAAAAAAAAAACAAAGGTGTTTGACTAAGTCAACAGAAGCATTGAAAGTCCAAAAAAAGAAAACAAAATAAAACAAACATCGCGAGAAACGAGGATGTTCCGAAATTTGGTCTTTCAAGATCTAAGAAGCGGAAAAGAAACGGGCCCACATTTCGTGTGGGGCCCAACATCTTTTAAATATATATATTAAATCCCTTCGACTTGAAGCTAAATTTATATTAAAATAAATAAATGAAAAAAAGGAAAAAGAAATATAAAAGCTTTAGACACTTCAGCTTCAAGCGATTAAAGTCATTGTCACATGGATTTTATTTTTTTCCCCCCAAATCATTTAATCTCTCTACATTTTTATTTTTTGTACCATTTTAAAAAAGATAAACACATCAAATATATGTTATTATTTATTAAAGCATATGATTAATAACTGAACAAAATTACAAGGCAGAGGGGGATTTTTTTTATAATTTTTCCCTCACCCAAAAAAAGAACATATATCTAAAATCACTATGGCACAAAATTACAGATTTATTAGTAGGACACACAACATATCTCTGTCCTGTCCTTTTCTTCTCAACCTCTTCATCTTCTTCTTCTTCCTTCACCCACTGCTTCCTTTCCTTCTTTATTCTAAACCTATACTGCCATTTTCAATCTAACTAAGAACACCCTTTTCATCAATCTCTTCGTCCAAGACCGCCCTTCTTCATAAATTAATATTGTTCTGGCTACTTCAATGGATTCTTTATCCAGCGCCTGCAAAAACAAATGGATTCAGTGTTCTCTGCTTCGTTCTTCATCAGTATGTCCATTCCTGAGGTAGGTGAAGTTCTTGTTTTACGGCTCCCTCTGCTCGGATACTACTCCTTGGCAGTGGCAGAAGGGGATTCTTTCTGGAGTCTGTAATTTGTGAAACTTCCATTTAATTCACTGCTTTAAAACGATGACAAATTAGGGGGTAATTGTTGGAGAAACTTGCTTACCGACGCTGGATGACAGCCAGCCGTTGAATGGGGCTTGATTGGAGCTTTTCATTTCCTCCGTAAAATTAATGGCTGGGCTACCTAATTAATCATAAACGACGAAGGTTAAAGAAAGATAATCCATGTGTCCTTTAGACAAGGGACGTTTTGAGATAATTTCAGGTCAAAATACCTTGTTTATGGCGGCACTCGGATGGGTTTACATGTCTGCGAGGGAGGAAAACGCCGGTTCCGGAGGAAGCCCTTTTGATGGCAGATCCGCCGGCGGGATGAATACAACGCATAGCGGAGGCATTGGGTGGTGGATGCTGACTTTGATGCGGCGGAGGAATCCAAGGACAGTGGTTCAAACTGCCGGTGCCTCCACCGCTCCGGCTGGTAACATTAACGATGTTTCTCTCTCTGTTTTGAATCTCCGACTTCCGGTGAGGCTGGGCTGACCAACCGACTTTGGCTTGTCTTTCCCAAGCAGAGGCACGAAGAGCCTGTAGTACTAGATCCTGTCCCACTTTCTGAACCTGTGGAACCAGAAATCTCAATGATCTCAGATATGTAAGGCAGGCCATAGGAATAACTGAGAACCTAACTACTAAAATGCTCTGTTCTCTAAGACTCAACTTAATTGTTAGGAAATTTGAAATGATTTACCTGCGCGGAAAATGCCAGATTCCTAGCACAGTTCTGGGTCGAGAACAGCCCATACTCCACATTACTTGTGGATTTAACCGGTATGGAAGATCGAGCGCCCGCAAATCCATTGTTATGATATGGGGTCGTTTGGCCGTACATCTTTAACCTCGCAGCCTCCCTTGAAGCTGCATGTATGAGGACTCTAGCATCGTTATCAGCCCCAAAAACCACCATGGGAGGCGATTTTAGCTGAGACGAAGGACCTTCAGGGCGAAACCAGGCGTCTATGCGACTCAAAGTCGACTGAGGAGAACCAGTTTTCACATACTTCTTCTAAATCCCCCAAAAATATAAGCAAAACCCATGTCAGAAACTAATCCAAACACTTAAAAAAAACATCAGAAAAGAAGATTAGATGAAAAGGGTACCTGAATTTTGTTGGGATTAAAGCAGGGAAATGTGGATTTCTCAGTTTCACAGAGAGACGTCCATGCAAACTGCTGAGCCAAACCCACAAAAAACTCATCGTCGTCACTACTACCGCCAGTTGAGTCCGTAGAGCTCACAACCGATTCCACTGGCGAGTTGAGGTCAGAGTTAGAACCAAACGAGTCAAACTCGTAAGGAAACTCAGAGGGGAAGCTCAAACAAGGAGGTTCAAAGGAAGTTGTCTTACTCAGACTTTCTTTCCCAGAGGGAAGCCACAAATCAGAAGCAGCTAGAGACTCAGCCATGCGAGAGGAAGCGAGAGGAAGAGATAGAGAGAGGGAATGGAGGCGGAAGTTGAGGAGGCGAAGAGGGTGGGAGAGGAAGATTAATAATGAGGGGAAGAGAGACTGGTGGGAGTGGGGGTGGACGAGGGACCCTACAAAGGAAAAAGGAAGAGAGGGAGGAGGGTGTGGGGGGAATGTTAAGGAGAAGCTTGAGCTTTATCGAGGGCTATTGTGGATCTGGGAGACGGTTCAAAATCCAGAGAGAGAGAGAGACGAAACTGTCGAAGATGTGAAGACAACTGGAAAGGGAGGCGGCAGTAGCTGGAGACACTTGTCCTTCAGTGCAACCCTTATGCCATAAGTTACAAACCTTTTTTAACTGTGTGCCTTACTTTTATTACCATATTTACCACCGCCGTTGCGTCAGCTTCATTCCAACTGCATGGGACCTGTGTCAAGGAATGGAAGTAACATTGGGTTAAGAAGAGAATTAAGGAGACAAATTATACTTTTTGTGTTCTTAATCTCACTCTTAGGCTTCGGCTTCAATCATCCCTTTAAATGTCTCACACATAAATCATTACCATATCTTAATCTGTCCCATCAATTAATTACCTTTAATCCAATTTCCACACTCCCCCTTTTTCTTTTCCTAAATATTCACATTAAATCTTCCCATTAGTTTAAGTTAACTTAAAATTTTGAAGTAAATATAAGAATTAAAACATGGGGAGATGGGTATAAAATCTGTAGGTGACGGTGGAGGCACCGAAGTTTGGTGCTTACCCGGGTAACCAAAGAGAATACCTTAGAATCTGAATCTGTGACGTGGCACCAGTAGAGATTCAGCACTCTTTAACTGCCAATCTAACCGGTGGGGCCCGCCAATAGATGCCGTCTCTTTTAACGGATGTGACATTTATGCATACCGCGTTGTTTTTTTTTTTTTTTTTTTGGTTGATGGATAAAAGTAGCGGACCCCAAAAGGCTATCCGGTGGATTTGATAAAATTCCCGCCAAAAAAGGGGCGGACAACAAATTGAAAAGAAAATTAAAAAAGAAATTTGAAATGGAATGGAGGCAAGTTTGGAGGGTGGGGACTGACAGGTTTACCTGCCGAAAATAACACTATGACTGAACTACCAAGACATGGACAACAACCCTAGTAATAATATGTTTTATTAAAAAAAAAAAAAAAAAATTATACAAATTTAATTTTTTAAAGAAGTATTATAATATTCTTTTAATCATTATTAAACAAAAACTATTAGTGTTAGGTTGATTTTTTTTTTTTTTTTTTTACGAAAATAAAAGGCCGATTAACAAAGATGTTAACTCTCAATTTTAAATTAAAGAAGAAAATTTTAAATCAATTACTGCATCAAATTTAAGAATCAAATCTATAATTTAACCCAACTTTAAAAGAATTATAAAGAACTTAAATAAAATCAGAAGATTTGATTTTAAAATGTTAATGACCAAAGTAAAAAATAAATAAATGTAAAGAATAGAAAAGCAGGGGAAGTAGCAAGAACTAATGATTTGACTTGACTTGATTGGAAGGGTCTATTGACCTTGTCCAAATTTGAATGCTGCGGTACTCATTTTAAAAATCACACACATCCCTATAAAGTTCACCATGACAAACAATTTAATTTAATGGATAATTTGGCAGCTTTTATATATATACATATATAAAATAAATAAATAATCAATAGTTTTGAAATATATAAGCATTTAAAAAATAAAGGATGGAAATTCAAAAACACTTTCATAACTTATAGAAACATTTATTTTCATTTTTGGACTTTTAGATAATAACAGCCAATATTGTCAAATTCTTTTGTCACAATCGATCATCCTATTAGTAAATAAATACACGTCCACTTCAAAATAATTATTTAAAAGAAAATAGTTAAAAACTAGAATATTTTAGTAACATAAATATTTTCAAAAAGCTTTAAAATGAAATAAATTTTAAAACTTCAATAGCTATTACTCTCATAAATATTTATTCGTCTATTTTGAATAAATTTTCTGGCACATTAAATACAGTTAAATATTCAAGGCGGAACATTAAATTTTAAAAGGTCTAAAATTGAATCCTCGTAAAAATGAAATTAGAAAATTTATGAGAAACCAACATAAAGTAATATAAATCCAACCCAACTAATTATTTCAAAATTAAAAAATTATTAGAGAGTGAGAAGAGGAAAAAAAGTAGTGAATGGGCATGCAGGGAACAGGTGTGTATGGTTGTTGGCGGGAAAAGAAAAGTAGAAAGACCAGTCAAAATCAAGGATTTTATCAAAACAAACGACTACGTACACCCAATCGCGCGTGGAGAGAACGCGCAAGATTAGTATAGATTAATATAGGTGGGCACTAGGCAGTGTAAGTCAGGGTTGTAAAAGCGCGTGAGAAGAAAAATGGTGGTGGGGGCCAAAGCTGGTCGGCTGGCGTGCAAGGACTGATATAAGTGAGGGAGAAAGAAATTAAAACGGAAAGAAAAAAAGAAAAAAAGAAAAAAAGAAACTCCCGCCAACAAAGAGCGAAGACAAATCCCCTATTCTAAATTCTACCCAATGACACGTCATTCACAGTTACCGCCTCTTTCATTTCTTGTTGTTTTTGAATTTCACACACAACGGTCTTAACACTTCTACATCAGTCTTTACCTAACCTATCCTCCAATCTTTCTCTCTTTTATATTGATGTTATAACTTCTTGAATTTTAGGGGTTGAGGTAGGATGGAGGTCAATGTGGCAACCAAACTATGTAGGCACCTATAATCTGCGTAACCCTATACTAGAGGACGCTCGTAAAAAAGATTACTAGATCAAGAAGAGACTATTGGAATGCCAAGGGACCACATAAGCCTAGCTTCACGAACAAAATCTTAATGGTCAAATTAGTTATGCAACACTACTCTAACCCAACTTAACACTTTTTCGATACAAGCATGAACTTAAGTAAGGAGTGTTGAACACAATACCGCACAAGTTTGAGTGTCTATCTTCTAGGTCAACTCAACACCTCGATCAAGAGCCTGAATAGACCAATAACCAACGCAGAAAATATATCAGTATGTCAAAATATATTAATAAGACTTTTTTTTCTTTTTTTTTTTGTTAATGAATTTAACCAAAAAAAAAAAACAAAAAAAACAAGAATTAAATTGATAAATTTCTAAAAGATTAAGTTAACGTATTCTCCATGAATTCAGTGGTCTTGTTTAACTCAAACCAATCACTTGATAGAGCTCAAGTGGTTAAACAACAATGTCTCCTTTTTATAGTTCAACAACAATGGTTCTTCACATCAGCATCACCCTCTCATATCCTTTTCGGTCTTATAAAAGAATGCAAACATAATCATAAACTCATGGCTTCCTCTAAATCAAATGCATACTCAATCTTTTTATTTTCTACCTAAACTCTAGTTTAACACTTTAGACAAATGAAGAAACTAAAAAGGAGAATTGTGGTCTCCATTTATTTGTTAAGGGATGGTAGGGCTGAGGTGTTCGGCCTCACCACCAATCCAAAATTAGAACTTCATATTCACTAGGTAATATACTTTTCCGTCCTACATTTCTTTATCCATGATATGGCAGACAAACCAAAGCAATCCTGCCCAAGCTTGGTGTTTAAGCTCTGGTATGGTGACAATAAAATGCAGGAGTATCTTAATACCAAGATGCTTCTTACAAAGAAAATTAGCAAGCTGAATTCTTATAACCTTTTAACATTCAACATTGAAGAAGGAAATAAAAAATAAAAAATAAAAATACCTTAAAACACATATTTCTTTCAGAGAGGGACAGTCACATATCTACTTAACCCAAAATGTCAAATGGACGGGAGGAAGAAATGGCTTGAAGGTACATTGAAGGGTAGATTTAAAGGAGACAAGGTGGGGCTTATAGATGAAATGATTACAGAACAAAAAGGGAAGGAGTTCCCCTTTTAAGATATTCATATTGGGAATAGCAGAGCTAAAACTATGAAATTAAGGTACATGACTTTTATTAAAATGAAAGGGGCCTTAAAAGACCATTTCAAAACCTATACAAATTTCAAATCTACACTCCAACTAGGAGTATGGGACTGTCTGGTTGAGGGTGGGTGGGTGTGGAGTGAGTGAGTGAGTGAGTGAGTGAATGAGTGAGTGTTGTCCATTATTAATTTTGGGCCCATTCTTTTCTTTGACAAAACATTGTGTGTTAAGTCTTATGATTTCTGTTTCTTTTTCTTTTTGCCTAGAGAAGATGATCATAACCATGTTCAACTATTTTCATCCCTCCACGTGTCCCATTCATCCTCATTATATGACAACCCGTAGCCGTAGGGCAGACTCAACATCTATGCATCCCCACACACCATGATAAATGATGAATCCCACAGATTTCCAACTGTATCCATTTTCTTTTCTTTTCTTTTCTTTTTTTCAATTGCTTTACCTTTTTAAAGGCAATATTATTCATATATTCCAGACGAGTTTACTTCTTTTTCTTTTCTTTTTTTTTTCTTTTTTTATGTGTGTGTTTTCCTTTTAAAAACGGGAGTTGTCGAAAATACTAGATATGTTAATAAAAGTTATCATTTTTTTCTACTTTCAACAATTACCATATCAACTAAATCGCTTACTGGAAATTAAAAAAAAAAAAAGAAAAAGAAAAAAAGTCCTAAACTTAACTACGAAGCTTGATCCAAATACCAGACATCAAGTAGTTTTATCAATGAAATTTGATTAAGATATCTAGTTTGAGTTTCAATCTATATTCTATAACTAAATAAATGTCATCCTAAAAAGGCAATCTAAGTTTATCCTTGTAATCCAACATTATTTGATAATCAATCTTTATGGAAATTGAAGTATTACATTACCATTTCTCTTATATCAAATGGTAAAACTTACTTCAACGGCCATACTTGCTTACTAATATACTCATCTTTATGGCAGGTGGGTGCCCATACTATAAAATTAGGAATAAGATTACTACTTTACGAAAAGAAAAGAAAAACCTAATTTCTATTTTTTTTGTGTTTGCTTCGATTTAAGAGTCGTTTCTATAACAGATGTCAACACTACATCTAGGAACATAATTATTGACATTTGTTGGCTGATTCCTTTTTTTTTTTATAAGATTTGTCTACATAAAATATCTTAATATGTACTTTATCCCATCGTCCTACATTTATCTACGCATTTTAGTTTCTGATCATTTTATAATGTCTTTATTATTATTTAATATAAATTAAAAAAAAAAAAGAAACAAAAGAAAAAAAAAAGAAGCCAACATCCATATATTTGTACAATAGAGTTTTTTTTTTTCTTTTTTTTTTTTTAACAAAAAGAGAATAATCTTGAGGTTCTAAATTATTAATGATGCTTTCGGTTTCCAATTCTTTTTTAAAGTTCTGCATATTTCCCAACATTTTTCTTTGTTTTTCTAGTCTACTTGAACAATTTTTAAATCATTAAAAAAACTTAAAAAAAAAAAGTTATTAAAATTTCCAACAATTATTAGAAATGAAAACTAATAAAAACAAACATCAGAAGTTATTATAAGTCTAATGTTTAAAAACATAACAAAAACAACACCATTGTCAAATAGAGCCTAACTTATTAGTGATTAGTCAAACATCAAAAGTGGGAATGGGAAGAGCCTAAATTAGAGTTCTTCGTAGCCCAATTTTGTTATATATATTTAATAAATATATCTATTTCCATTAACTACAAAAGGGAGGAGTGGCGTGGGGGCTGCAAAAGTGGGGCATTTACGTGGGACTGCAAAAAGAATGAGCATTGAGGGGCATAACTCGTACCTTATAACATGCAGTGGACAGCAGAACATTGTCGTCAATGAAATGATGAAAATCACCCTGAAGAGAATTATTGTAAATGAGTAAAAACGAGCCCATCTTTTACAACGACCACCAGTCTAAAAACAGAATAAAAATATGGATGGATATATATATTCACAATATATAAAATGGAAGAGAAGAAATCAACGAACTATACAGTGTAGTAATACAGAGTTTCAATACTCTCGTGGTATTGAGACATTGGAATGGAGACAGATATATACTCAGCAGTCGATGTTGACATTTGGAGAAAGACGTGGTGATGGGATCCTTAGCTTCCCGCTCTTCTCCAATGATACCTATAAAGACAATCAAACTCATAAGAAAGTATAATAGTTCATCCAGGACTTCAGTTGTTTAGTTCTTGCTCGCTTCTCCCTATTCTATTGTGACAATGAATAGCTAATTTCAGATTGTGTTATATCAGGTGACAGATCATACAAAAGAATAATTTGGATGTTTCAAATTTCATTGATGAGTGAGTAGTCACAAAAAGTTGAGATGGACAAGCAAAGCTATGGAGCATCTCCCCCAAAAAGTCAATGCCACAGCGAAATCAGACAAGGAAAAAGATGGAACTGAGCATGTTATTTTCTATTTTCAAATTGCCATGGAACAGATAACAAGGTAAAGCTGGTAAAAGAGTACCAATAGGATATCTTCATCTGTACCGAAGCATTTGCGTGCATCATCTAGACACTTCGATGAGATCCTCACATGCTTGCTGCAAAACCTTGTTGAATTATCTTCTAAATTTTTTATAACTAGCTAAAGTAATTTATCAACACCCATAAATCAGAGGGAAGTCTAGAGAACACAATTTTTTCTTTTAATATTATCAAACATATTACGGATAGGTTAAAAACCACAAAAGAGGTAGCCAAATTTGTAATAATTAGGGAAAGATTGCAATTACAAAAGACATCTTTGTGAGTTGATTTAAAAAACATATCTTGTAAAAGTTGGTAGTTTTAGTTGCCATGAGATCTTGAGAACTTTACAGCTATCAACATGCTAGTCTGATCTTGAGGTTCATCTCAATTAATCTAAAGAGCAATTAATCTAAACGATATGAGGTTAGATTGTGGCACAATTTCCTTGGACCAAACTACGAATTATTCAGTTCTGTAGAATTCAAATATTTGAGACGTACGGACAGTACTCATATTATACAATCATCTGAACATTTGCGATATAATCTACTCAGACTTTTTAACACTTGAATAAAAAATGCCAGAGATTATTTAATAAAATGAATAGATTTACTATAAACTAAAGGGGAGGATAGAACCTAGAGCTGGCAGGATCTCTGATTTCAAATTGATCCGCATCAGCATCATAGCCACATACCACTATATAGTGACCTGAGAAATATATTCATTGGTAATGAGTAGAGAATTCAAACTACAATATAAGGTCCAGAGAGAGTTATACATCATAAGCATTGGTAAGCAATGTATCTAGTGAGAAAGTGGCCATACTAACCAGTATAGCTGGAGTTGCTATCACATATGCCTGACACAAGTACATCTTCCAGCCAAGACCGACTGTGACAAATATCCCCAAGACCATTCCAGTCATAAGAAAATTGTGACAGGTATATTTTAGAATTAAATCTAGAAAGGGGCAATCTATGATGAAAAAGTGCAGACCATAGTTGGATTAACATGGCTGCAACATGAAATACTAATAAAGTAGTTACTTCGAGAAAATTCAGTAGGGAATTTTAAATATTATAAATGTACTATACCTCAATGTATGCTGATCAACTAACACAATAGCAACATATATCCCAGATAACATTAAGAGAGAGATTTCTTCTTTGCTGATAGATCTGCACTGTTAATTCGAGGATAGTTAACTTAATATCAAAAGACCATTAGCTTCCTATTTTAGATGGATAAAATGACACAAATCTACACTGTGTATAGGTATCTTGAACGTATTCCTTCAAACCAAAATCTCCAATTTTTCTAATACAGCTTGAGAGAACAGCAACATGCATCTATGTTACGTTCACAATTTTGATTTCTAAGGTAGAGATACCCAATGACTAGGCATCCCAGATAGCTATCTTTGCAATTGGTTTACTTTAGCATCTTTCTTATGGTTAAAGCTTAAATAAAAATCTTCCATTTTACGCTTTTCCCCTTGAATATGTAGCTTAAGTTAGATTTATGAGTAAAATACATTTTGGTCACCCAAATTTGAACTTAGTTTCTATTTGACTCCTAAGTTTTCAAAACAAACTATTTTGGTTTTCTAAATTTAAATTTAGTTCTTCAAGTTCAAGATTTGGTCCTTTGATCTTTGAATTTGATTACTAATTGGTCCCTAAAGTTTGAAATTGGTTCCTAATTTGTTTCTGAGTTGAGTTGACCGTTAGTTATCCTAAAAGAAGAAATTAACATGAGTTCGTCAACTAACAGTCTACTCTACTAAGAGACCAACAAAAAATCAATTTCAAACTCCAGGGACTAATTGGAAATCAATCTCATATCTCAAGACTAAACATGCCAGTTTTGAAATCTCAAGGACTAAAAATAACTAAATTCAAATCTCAACAAAAAAAAAACATTTAGTTTTGAGAACTCTTGGCCAAATAGAAACTATGATAAAATCCGAAGGACCAAAAATGTGTCTACCCAAGATTGATCTATATGACCAAAAAAATACATAATTTTGGTGGATTATTTTAATATGCAGCTTTTTCCAGGCATTTTCAATATAACAAAACAAAACATAATGGTCAAGCATTCCTCGGCATCAGGTTGGAGAGTAACAAAAATAACCAAAGATTACATTACTTTCCCAACCATAAATTTTGAACACAACCAACACCAAAGTGAATAGTCCTTCAGACAAACCTTCAAGGGCAACTATAAAAAGAATGAGTAAGTCTAAGCAACAAATAGATTATTTATTTCCATCTGCTGGAAAGCTCTGAAAGGCACCATAGCATACCCCCAAGTGATCATTCATATCTCTCTCAAATAAGATGGTTTGAATTAAGGGTAAAATACACTTTTGGTCTCTAAAATTTGAACTTAATTTCTAATTGGTTGCAAAATTTCCGAAGCAAACACTTCGGTCCTTCAGAAACAAATTTCAAGCTTCATGGACTAATTAGAAATCAAATTCAAACCAAACCAAACATGTCACTTTTCAAACTTCAAGGACCAAGTAGAAACTAAATTCAAATATCAAGTACAAAAAAATGTCAAAGACCAAATAAACTAAGTTAAATTGAGGAACCAATAGTACATTCTCCTCTTGAATTAACATAGAATGAATACGATGAAATAAGAAGTATACAAAAAATATCCTTCATATATTATTACAGCAATAAAAATATGTAATATATAGGTATACATTAATCTTACAGAAAGAAATACTTAGATGTAGTAAATGACCACACCTCAATTTTGATTCCAGCATCCACTGCCTTTTGAAATAGCTTATCGACTCGTACCAGATCATTTGCTAGTTCCTCCTGCAGAAGCTGTGTTAAGAAGCACGGGAGTAGCAAAAAGAAAGAGCCATGCCAAAACAATGTTGCCTAACAAAATGTATTTAATATTCACCCGATAAAGCAATGAGGCTTGCTCAACAGAATCGGCTTTTAACTCAAACCTTGTAAGACTTCCATAGTCAATTACAGAAATGATCAACAAAATTTTTTTATGGATAGGCACAGTGGTAAATGGCACAACAGAGGCAGTCAAGTAATTTCTGCGCAAGAAACCAACAGCGCAGAAAACATTGAAAAATTCACCTTGTAAAATGATTCAACAGAATAATTAGGGTCAGCACCAAAGGTCACCGTGAAGTAGGAAAAACTGACTGAAAAGCTCTGCAACAAATATGCCAGATCGACAGTCCATATGCTGCCCAAAAAAAGTTGCAACCAAAAATTATCAGCTTCCACTTCATATACTAAAAAAAGTGAATTTTATAATATAAGGGAGAAAAAAACTGATATATAAAAGTCGAGACATTTCAACTTGTTATCTCATTCACTTTCATTGTAGAAACCCATAAAAGTTCCTGTTTGCGTTACTAAGGAAGTAAAGACCTAAAGCAGTTAAGGAGCTTAAGTGAATGGTCACCTTGAAATGATAGTTAACTGAAAGATAGTTCAGGAAGTCAGAAAGGGAGGTAATTTTTGACCGGCTGGAGAGGGAAAGGGAGAAGTTATGAACGGCTGGAAATTAGACTTTGGAAGAGAGACAAAGTCTCTAGAAAGCTTGAAACTCGATAAACTTCTCTATATGTTCTCATTTGTGGTTTTCCAATTGCTAGTTTTATTGACTTAGATGTTGGGACATCAGTTCCAATGGGAATAGAAAAAAAAAAAAATCAATCGATGATAGAAATCAGTTTATGAGAAAATGAATACAAGATTCAGCTTGTGTAGAGTGAGTGACAGCAAATTCCTCAATAAAAAAGAAAACTGACATGTTTTTTACAGTCATGGAGAAATGGCATCACATGCGTAATGGACTCGGACAGATTTCAAGTTCCTCTTAGAATACATTGCCAATTTCAACTCCCTTCCACTTGTAAGGAATGTTAGACATACGTGATGAAAAAAGGATCATGTTTAAAAATAAAACACCTCGTTGTGCCGCATAGATCTGCTAGTGATTGAATATGGCAATCATGTATACCAAGAGTGTCCAGAATCATCAAAACACAAGCAAGGCCACAATCCCATTGTTGAAGCTGGTTTATGTGTGTTACCTGGCAGGAGAACAAGAAACTCAACAAAGCAAAAAGAACAAGTTTACTGCCGCACATCAACACTTTGACTTTTTAGTTTATGACAGAATCATCGCATAGATTATTGGCTTGGAGAATATATTAGGATACAAGAAACAAAATCAAACAAGCTTACTTCAATGAACTGGGAGCGGGGCAGAATTGGAGCATCACGTTTTATTTTACTTAGAAACTTGTCAAATGGGTACACTTCTACTAAACTCAAATCATCTCCACCCAATTCTCTTGGTTCCTCTAGCTTGAGAATCTTGTTGAAGAGAAGATAGAATGGCCACATGAGAGGCCAATTCAGCTGCAAGCAGTCACCGCTTTGAAGAGGGTTAGTCAACAGATTATATTTGTTATTCTACCAAATTCCAGAAACATGACTTCTACTACCTTTAAGACAAAGAGGAAGTAAGATCCCGAGTCTGAATACTACTGAGGAATATTATCAAATGATATCAATTATAAAATATGCCAGGAGAAAGTTCATGTACATCAAAACTCGAGGACACGCTTCGTCAAGCACATGCACAGTTCCAACAAAAGGTATAAACATTAAGTCTATAAGCTTGCGTCAGATGGCTCAATTTTACAACACTCGGCATAAGATATGTTTTAGCAATTTTGTTTTTCCATCTTTTAATCTGAAACTAAAATTTATACTACCTCAAAAATCTAAACAAAAACAGTAAGACTTGCTCCATGAATTATTACAAACAAAAATATCAAATATTAAAGGCTGTAAGTCGAGACAAAAGAAAGTCCAATCAATCGTTTATCTAGCTCGAGCCCTTCCCAATCCAGTAAACATCGTTTCCACAACTTCGAGGTCAGAAATAGGACGATCTCTTCGCTTTGGATAATAAGAGTCAAAATAATAATAAAAACAAATAGCGGCAAAATTTCAGATTCCAAGAACAGATTACAAACAATCCATCAGTTTCAATCATTGAAAAACATTTATTCTTACGGAAACAAACCGAGTGGTTGTTAAAATGAAGCTGAAAATAGGTAAGAGAGAGAAAATTTTGGCGATGGTTGCATTTATTTCGATCCTTGGTTAATGGCAACTAGGAAGAACGAAAATCGGAATAAGCACAAAAAAACAGGTAAACGGAAGGATTGGAGAAACGGAAGGAAAGTAAAATATTATTGAAGCACAAAGAAACAAACTGACAACTCTTTGGCTTAAAATATTACTAATTACAGAACAAGAACGAACCTGGCAGAATTAAATGCCGCAACGATAAACAAAAGCAAATCGGAATCCAATGAACCTTCTGAATTTCCGATCGGAACCAGAGAGCGATGAGCAGAAATCAGGGTGTAGTCACCTACTCCGGCTGAAATAGGAAAAGTATAAAGGCGCAGATCCTATTCCAGAAGGTTGTTGAAGAAGGATATTATTACTGGCTTCGTATTTGGCGGGTTCTTAAAAATTTCTGGCGCATTCGAGTGGGTGTACCGCCTACCGCGTATTGTCAACGACATGTCGAAACGAGGTATAGCCCAGCCCATTAAAATTAACTTGTCTTGTTTGCTAATTGTCGTTTTTGAGGGTGTGAATATGAAATTTTAAGCGCCCAATTATCCTCTTACTTTTCTCTAATTTCAGCCCCAATATTTTTGTAAATAAAATACAGAGAAGTACAAATATAGACTACTTTTATTGAAAAATTTTATTTAAAGGGGTTAATTCACTATTACTGTATGAGCTTCCCATAAAAGTTTGAAAAGAGTATGCTAGAAAGAAGTTTTCACACCCTTAAATAAACACATCGCGTTCTCCTCTCTAATTGATATGGATCGAGATCTCACAAAAAGCAACTAGCATAACAATCAAAATAATTGTAATTTTGATGCAACACTAATATGAAACCAAACAAGAGAGGGAAAAATAGTCACTTCCCTCCTACCTTGACAAGTCCCAGAAGTGTTCGCTAATGGTGCAACATACGTTGCAACAAATTCAGAAGTTAAAGCAGCCCAATGTTACATTACAACAGAGAAATCAAGAATAATATGATAGATGTAAGCTTTCACAGAGTTGAAGTTGGCATCTCATCATCCAGATACCAACTTTACAAAGATACACAGTGCATTGAGCATTATGAGAGGAACTCTTAAATATTGTGTTGCGTAGACAAGGCCAATAAGCTGTCCCTTCAATGATTTTGTTCTGCCTCCTGAGAATTCAGAGAAGCTCAATCCTCGACGAGCAAGAAAACGATCTTCATTTAGAATTGCTAGCGCGTTGGCAAGAAGCAGACAACCCTCTAGTAGCGTCCACAGACCCATTTTCCTGAGCTCTAACTTACTGGAAACACACTTCAGAGGGTTTTGAATCTAGGGACTCCTTTGTACTGATGACGTTATTACCTGCTGAATTTCGATTATACAGGATAAGAAATTGTGCAAAGAATGATGGAGCGAAGGATAAAGGGGCATGAGAGTCTAGTGATAAGTCAAGCTTGCCAACGAAGCTCATGCAATTGAAATAATCTTCAGATAAGGCATGAACAGAATAACAAACCCATTTTATTATAATGCATAAACTTGAGAGTAGTTAACAAAAACATCTGATCTACAACAAAGTGGAAGAGAAAAAACGTGCACTTCAAAAGACAAATAAGAAACAAACGATGTCTACAAAAGAACTTAGTAAAAAGACTCCATCTTGGATAAGTACGCTCAACCACCAGGCACCAGCTACACTTACAAATACTCATGCCAATTTGGTATCCGACTGAAACAATTGGATTAATGTTCTTCCTTCACCACATTAGTCAACTAATAAACCCCTTAATGTTCATGTTGTTACTATACCTACTTGCCAGTAGATAATGGATGTTGAACTTGTTCTCCTTCCAAATTCTACAATTTTCTTGCGTGAACGATGTAGTTATCAATTTACACTTAGAATCTCCCTTTCTTTCAACATAATCCGTTGACTTGTATACTTCTTACATTTATCTAAGTTCCTTTTCAAATTTGTTATCCCGTTGCTCTCAGAATCACATGCGTATGTAGCCCAACAATATTTACAAGCAACCCTATAAAATTCAGGATCACATCCCTCTGTTATAATAAAATGCTCCCAAGCATCTGAAGCTTGTTTAGAAGGTTTCTTTTCTTTAAAAATCCTACTTTACAACTAGCACCTAGATTAGGATTGCCACTTTCAACTGAACGAAGAGTTTGACTAGAATAACTTTTAAAAGTCTCAGTTGTAAATGATGAACTCGTCCTGGGACAAAAATCAAACCAACTCAAGAGTACTCAATTTGTAGAGTTCCTAGAGTATAAGACTACTGTAATTGGTTTTTTAAGAAAGAAAACACTTTTCTCTTAGGTGGGAGCCAGAACCTAAAACATTGTTGACAGAACTATATACGCAACGTTTGACTCACATGCATACACAGGTATGACATGTTCTTTAAATAGTTCATGTAATTGGATTAACAAAATAAAAACACTAGTTACAAGGATGATATTATTGAAATCGTCAACAGAACAATAGGAACAACAACATGAAAATAGTCTTTCAACCTTCTGCCTTCTAATATGATGGTTTGGGGAGCTCGAAACAGAGACTTCGGAAGAATATGTCATATGAACCAGAGAATAAATTTCGTGGGGATGGAATAGAATCTCCATTGGTTAACAAATGGTTAAGTACTAGCAATAAGAACTAGAATACGAAGAGCAATCCAAGCAAACAAAACAAGTACAGCAAAACGTTGGGTGGTGACTGTTGGATGATGAAAGTCCCACATCGGCTAATTTAGGGAATGATCATGGGTTTATAAGTGAGGAATACTAACTCCATTGGCATGAGGCCTTTTGGGAAACCCAAAGCAAAGCCATGAGAGCTTATGCTCAAAGTGGACAATATCGTACCATTGTGGAGAGTCGTGTTCGTCTAACATGGTATCAGAGTCATGCCCTAAACTTCATCTAACATGGTATCAGAGCCATGCCCTAAACTTAGCCGTGCCAATATATTGGCAAATCCTCGAATGTCGAACAAAGGACTCCAAAAAGAAAAAATGAGTTAAGCCTCCTTGAAGGTACGAAGGCAATAAAAAATGACTAAGACTCCAAAGGAGTCAAGCCTCGATTAAGGGGAGGCGTGCTTTGTTCGAGGGGAGGTGTTGGATGATGAAAGTCCCACATCGGCTAATTTAGGGAATGATCATGGGTTTATAAGTGAGGAATACTAACTTCATTGGCATGAGGCCTTTTGGGAAGCCCAAAGCAAAACCATGAGAGCTTATGCTCAAAGTGGACAATATCATACCATTGTGGAGAGTCGTGTTCGTCTAACATGGTATCAGAGTCATGCCCTAAACTTCATCTAACTGACATTTACATATAAAGTAGCAAAATGGCATCTAATTTCTTCAAATAATTCACTCTTTAGCTGCTACCCAACTATCCAGATTAAGAAATTAATAACATTAGTTTAACACAAACTAATGGCATCTAAGTTGTAAAAGAGAGAGAGAGAGAGAGAGAAATTAGACAGACAAAACAGCACACTAGTAACAAAATCTCCAGAAATTCAAAGATTTCTCTATATTCAAAACTTCGTGATGGTTGGGGACAATTTTTTCAAATACCATAACCTAATGCCCGTGATTAGTATAGTAATAGTAGAATCATCAACAAGTTAATATCAAAGTTTGTGACCAGTGTTAAAAACCACAACCTCCTCCACAATGGTATTGATAATGTCCACTTTGAGCATAAACTTTCATTGCTTTGCTTTTGGTTTCTCCAAATGGCCTCATACCATGGATATGTATTTCTTACTCATAAACTCATGACCATCCCCTTAATTAGTCAATGTGGGACTCCCTCCCAACAATGCTCAACAATCTTTCCCTCGAACAAAGTACACAATAGAGCCTCCCCTAAGGCCTATGTAGCCCTCAAATAGTCTCCCCTTAAACAGGCTCGACTCCTCTATCTGGAGCCCTCGAACAAAGTACACCTTTTGTTCAACACTTGAGTCATTTTTTACACACCTTTGAGGCTACCAACTTTTTTGTTCTACACTTGAGGATTTGATTAGCATGGCTAAGTTAAGGGCATGAATCTAATACCATGTTAGAAACCACAACCTCCATAATGGTATGACATTGTTCACTTTAGGCATGCATAAGCTCTCATGCTTTGCTTTTGGTTTCCCCAAAACGCTTCTTACGAATGTTTTCCTTACTTATAAACTCATGATCATCTCTTAATTAGCCGACTCCCTCCCAACAATCCTCAGAAACTAGCCTGATACTAAAACATCGCAGGTAAACTGATCCAGAAAATGGTAAGCATCGTGGAGGAAAGTTTATGACAAAATTCTCATTGGCTTGATACTAAACATGTGAAAAAAAATCAGATCCACAAACAATGGATGTTGTTATACAGTTTGCGACTTATAAGCAAGTTGTTTCAGAAATACAGTACACTCCATTGTTTCAAAAACAGTCCAAAAATAGTAAACACAAGATTGAAGATGCCATACGAAAACGAAGCAGAGAATACAGAAGAGGAAGAGAATGGATTGATCCAAATTTCCACTGTTTTAATTTCTGCTTTGTTGATTAAAATGAAGCTGAGTCAATCGGTACCAGAGTGGAATGGAATCGAAAGGGCATACCCGTTATTCAAGAAACCACCGGTGACCAGAAAACTAACCTTAAAGTCGTCAGAGAGGGAGATCGGAAGGCGGGAAGACGAGCACAAGCAAAGAGATAAGGAGATCGAACGACGGCAAGGCGAGAGTGAGATTGAACGGCGAACAAAGGCAAACCGAAGACAGCGCAAAAAATTAGGGGGGTAATGTAGAAGACGGCGCGCGAATGTAGAAGTTCAGGCGCCGGTTCGGGCAAAGGCAACCAGAGGACCGAGCCGAACTCGGTCTGACTCGAATTCATGTTGAACCCGAACCGTTTGATTCGGTTCCTTCCCCCTAACCTTTTCCCTTTTATTAAACGTCGAATCTATGGCCACAGAGTTTTCACCAAACAAAAACTATATATATAACTAAATATATAATTTATAAAATAAATAAAAAAAAAAAACAGTAAAATAAATGTTCAGTTTATAGAATTAAGGTTTGAATATTTCGCCATTATTTAATTTATTTAATTTGAAATTGACATATTTAAATAAAACTAAATTAAATGTGAATTTGAGTTAGAGTTATGTGTATTTTAGAAAGAACATTCTAAGCTCAAAGTTCAAAATTGAAATTTAATAAACAAAAAGTTTAAATGTGAAGGGAGGGAAAAAAAAGAAGTAAATTTCATCATCAAATTAGGATAAAATATTTAATCACAAAATCGTGGATTTCAACACTTTGTAATTGTGGGACCATCCCTTAACGGCTACTTCAATAACGTGCGTCTCCGTCTATGCTGGTCTCTCTATTGGATTTTGTACATAAAACTCTATTCTCGTTAATTTAATATCGGACGTCCAAACAAGCCGTTAGTATATGGATCATGCTGCTCTCTTTTTTTTTTCCTTAATATTATTATTATTTATTTATGTGGTCCCGACATAACTTCGTGTATTATAAAGTTTTTTTCTTTTTATTGAAAGAGTGCAAAAAAGAGTGACTTTTTATTTTTTATTTTATTTACATACTAATTATCTGGTTAATAATAAGATATACAATATATATTTTATATATATACTATTTTTTTATTGGATTATTACACAATCACATTTAACTATTAAAACATATATTTATTATTTTGAAGCTAATAGAAAGAGGACCATCCGTATAAAAAAGGTGAAAGGGTATATTAGTTATAGAAATGCTGTGTTGAGTTATAAACTTCACTGTGAAGTTTCAAGTGGAAATTAAAAAGATTCGAGTCACCTTTTTTTTACAACTTTATACTTCATTGGATCCAATGTTACGATAATAATGTGTAACATGTAGCCACTTTTCAAAATAAAGCTACTTTTATTATTTTTTTAAGGTTGAAATTAAACCCTATAAATAAAACAGGTGTAGAGATAAAAAAAAAAAAAGTTAAAAAAAAAACTTTTGAGAGAGAACAACAAAAGTAAAAGTAAAAAAAAAAAAAGATAAAGAAAAATTAAAACTATATATATTTATTGTTTTTGTAATGTTCTTGTAATTTCTAAAACATTTTTTAAAAATAAATGTTAATAAATAATTTGTTTCCTACAATTGGCTTAGATATTATTATTTAAAATTCGGATTCAAATCAAAATATACATAAAAAAAAATAGAAATTCATAAATATTTTGAAAATGGAAAAATTTATGATAAATAAAATGGGGTGAAAAAGAACCGTACTTTGAATTTGATTGAGAGAGGGGCAGCTGTAACTGGATTCAAAATTCAATGACATCACCGTTAGATTGCAGCAATTCCTCTTTATTTAATGTTTTTTTTTTAAACGTTGGCCTGTCCTGTTCTGTGGCACTTCAGCAGTAACCTTTAGGAGAGAAACAGAGAGAGAAATTTGAAATCCTTCCGCCATGTTTGAACCCGGTGAACCATCCAAGCTTCTTTAAAAAACCCACTGTGCTCACTCTTTTCCTTCCCTTTCGGGGTCTCGAAATCGCTCTTCTTTCCCAAAAATGGAACCTACTTCGGTCACAAGAAGCGAAAATACTCACAAAATCGGTGAATCTTTTGGTTCCAATGCTGTTGGAACCGAGTCGTTTACTGACTCCAGTGCTGTCTCAGGGGAGAACAGCTCAAGCAGGTCGAGCTCCGACAATTCCGCCGGCGACTTAAAGACCACCGACTGTTCTTCACCGCCTCAACTCGGCTGGCCCATCCGCAAGGCTCAGCTTCGCAGAAGTTCAAATTCCAAAGCTCGTGAAGTTGAACAAAAGCCCAATTTCAACGACTCAAAGCTCAACAAAACGGTTCCTGAAGTTCCTGAAGTTTCAGGTTAGTTTGATTTCATTCTCTGTTTAAAACCCATTTTGATTTTGGGGAGCTGATGAAGTTTTTGATGAACAGAGATGGAGATGATGAAGGAGAGATTTGCAAAACTGTTGCTTGGAGAAGACATGTCAGGCTCCGGTAAAGGGGTTTCCACTGCTTTGGCCATTTCAAACTCCATTACCAATCTCTGTGGTAAGCTTTTATCTATGAAACTTCCTTTCTTTTCTGCTTTAATGGCTATTTACACTGTTTTGTTCATCTTGAAGCTACCATTTTTGGGCAACTATGGAGACTCGAACCCTTGCCAAAGGAGAAGAAATCAATGTGGAGAAGAGAAATAGAGTGGCTTCTTTCTGTGAGTGACCATATAGTTGAATTAATCCCCTCTTTCCAAACATTCCCTGATGGAAGCAAGTTGGAGGTTATGACTTCCAGGCCAAGATCTGATATCTTCATCAATCTTCCAGCTCTCAGAAAATTGGACAACATGCTGCTTGTAAGATTACCCTTGTTTTTGTTGTTCATTACACTGTTCAATTCATGATATTCTTGGCCTTGTTTATAGGAAATTCTAGAGAGCTTCGTCGATACCAAGTTTTGGTATGTCGATCAAGGCATCATCGCTTCCAACGGCGATGGATCGTCGTCTTTTCGAAAAATAGTTCAAAGGCAACAGGAAAAGTGGTGGCTACCGGTGCCTCGAGTCCCGCCCGGCGGTCTTAGTGAAGATTCAAGAAAGCAATTGCATCATACTAGAGACTGCACAAACCAGATCTTGAAGGCTGCAATGGCTATCAATAATGTTGCCTTGGCTAACATGGAGGTGCCTGAATCATACTTGGAGACACTTCCTAAGGTTTGGATGGCAGTGTTTTTAAATTTTTGTGTAAAACATAATGCCTTGAAGAACTGCTTGACTTTTGAAACTTTGCTGCAGAATGGGAGAGCTTGTTTAGGGGATGTTATATACCGGTATATTACGTCGGAGCGTTTTTCATCTGAGAATTTGCTCGATTGCCTCGACTTATCCTCCGAACATGTTGCTCTCGATGTTGCCAATCGTGTCGAGGCTGCGATCTATGTCTGGCGGCGTCGAGCTCATTCGAAACCATTGATCAATCCAGCTCGTTCTACTGCAAGATCATCTTGGGAGATGGTGAAGGACCTAATGATTGATGGTGACAAGAGAGAGTTCTTAGCTAAAAGAGCTGAGGGCCTCTTGAATTCATTGAAGCAACGATTTCCTACACTAACACAAACCACTTTAGACACTAGCAAGATCCAATTCAACAAGGTACCAATGTTCACTCTTACACCTTGTTGTTGTTATCATTCATTTCATATTCATATCATGTAAAGCACATTTCAGGACGTTGGAAAGTCCATTCTTGAGAGCTACTCAAGAGTGCTAGAGAGTTTTGCATTCAACATCATTGCTCGAATCGACGACTTGCTTCACGTCGATGACTTAACTAAGCATTCGGATCGGTTGACATCAGTCGGGACGGTTAATGTAGTTGGTCATAAGAAGGGCGCTTACTCGGTGCATCTCTCGAGCACTCCATATAAACTCGCATCCACAACTCCATTGGTTAGTCCAGCCAAAACGGAGAGAGTGCCGTTTCTGAACAACAAGAACATAGGCAAGCCTCCTCGGCGCGGGTTCGGAGTGAAAAGAGTGTTGACGAATTATCTCGGCGTCGATACGAAAGCGAAAACGTGCATAGATTCGATTGAAGGGGCTGCTTCAATTCAGAACATTGTTGTGAATGGCAGTTCAGAACGGAGAAACAGTTCTTCTGCAGATCAAAGTGTGGTGAGCTGCAGCAAATTGCTGGCTGACAAGATCAAATAGTCAGTGCAGGAGGATAAAGAGGAAGAACATAGTAGTATACAGAAATAGAGTAGAATCAATTTGTTGTAAAAACTCTTTCGGTGAGAAATTATTTGTATTTATTTGATGATGCTTGAGTTCTGCTTTTTTAGAACCTAAAGCTGTTTTTTCTAGAATTGCTTGTATTGTTGTATTGTGCTATATTGTTCCTGACCAACTTTTTATTTATTTTATTTGTTTTGTTTTTTTCCGCTCACAAAAACTATCCCATCCCTTCCCACCCGAGCCTCACTCGATGGTCGAGTAGATATGTTGAACACAACTTTTTTTAGGAGGAATATTTGTGGTCTTTAATTTAGTTAATATCTTAATTTTTTCTTATAAATATTTAGAGATTCAAATAAAAAATCAAAGTTGCACTAAACACTTTTACTTTTAATGATACAATGAACACAAATTTATTAGTTTCTGACTCTATTTGATAACGGTTAAATTTTTTAAAGCTATGCCTATAGTTTATTTGTTTACAGTATCTATTATTTAAACAAAATTTTGAATTATAAACCAAAATTTAATAAATAAAAATAATTAGTTTTGTTTTCTAAAATTCGAGGAAGAGATTCAATATTTACTTTAAGAAAATAAAATCTTTAGTTAAGAAAGAATTTTATGTATTTCTATCAATTGACATCAAGTCGTTGTAGTATAGTGGTAAGTATTCTCGCCTGTCACGCGGGTGACCCGGGTTCGATCCCCGGCAACGGCGAATGTTTTTTACATTGCTTTGTTTTTCCAGTGTTTCAATACGACTTGTCGTCAAGCATCCCATATCGTGAAGGCGAAGTCTGCGTTACTTAGTCTATTTTCAACAAGAACGTCACGTCGTTCCAATAAAGACCAAAACTTCCTTCCGACAGGAAGAAGTGCACGATTGTTTCCTATCCTCTCTCACCTTTCTCAATTTCTTCGCCCACTTTACCAATCGCGTAAACCACGCGTTTCAATCAATCCCCTTCTCCATTCCACTCCCGCCGGGATCTGCCATTCCTCCGCCGTCTGCAAAATGCCGACCGGCACCAACATTCACATGTCCGCCCTAGACGGCATCGTAAACGTCAATTCCATGTTCACTCTGGCCGTCTTCTTAGGCTTAGCCTGGAACCCCAACGACCCGACGAACAATCTGGTCGAAAGCCCTAATTGCTTGGCCGCCCCTAACGTCGCCGAGAATCTGGTAGCCTTCCATGTCTATTCCTTCAGCTCCTTCCTCTTCTCCAGCTTAATCGCCCTCGGCCTTAAGCAGGCCATCCGGATCTCCAAAACGCCCTTCTATCACCCCACCGAGTTCTTCGTTCGCGTCAACAAAACGGCCGTCCGAATCGGGATGCTTGTTTCCGGAATCGGCTCGGTTTGCGGCTGTGGATTCCTCATGATGGCGCTTATCAATGTTGTTCAGATCAAACTTGGTACTCTGAGCTGCGGCAGCTCTCAGACTTACGCGGCGGTGGTTCCGCTCGTGATTTTGGTTCCATTTGCCCTTGTGATTTACATCTGCCTTGTTTCTTACGCTTTTATCAATTAGATCGCTGCGTATTTCCTGAAAATACCACGATTCTTGATCTCCTTACCTGTAGTCTTTATAATTCTTGTTATACTGTTTCGGTATCGTTATCAATCTTCAGGTGGGACTGCGTATAAACTATTTTGTTCGATTAGATTGAATGGAGTCCAGATCTTTGGTTATTTCGGACTGGAAATTTGTACCGTTATCGTTTAGGTGTTGATTCAGTCCACTTTGCTTGGACTCGGAAGAAAATGGAGAGAACGAGAAATTCGGTTCATCTTTGCTCCTTCAGTTTGTTCATCTTCATTGGAATGCTTCATAATTATCATTTTCTTACTTCAGAGAATATAATAACTACTTTATCTTCATCCAGCTAAGTTGAAATATGAACTCATTTTGTAAATGTCCTCACTTGTTCATATGACCGATATAATATAAACTATTCAACCCAAACTTAAGGTTGAGATTGAGTTGATTTTTTGATCAAGAAGATTAAAAATATTTTTACTTGTGAATAGGTGTTGATGGGCGGAGACTCGGAAGCCTTTCCAACCACCTATATAAGTAATTCTTAGTTTCTGTAAAATTTTCTATTTATTTTGTTGAGACATGGCGAGGCAAAGGGGGGAGGGAGATCTACGAAGCTTCGTAGACTCGCAAAATTGCTCCTCTTAGAATGCAAGCAAAGAGAACAATATTGGCGGGCTGGCAGTAGCCTTTTAAAGCGTTGAAGGAAAGTCCAAAGAGAACAATATCGGGTGGCTGGATGTTGGTGTTAGAGAATAGTATCAAATTTTAGTTATTAATCATGGTACATATAAAAATTGTAAAGAATTAAAAAAAAATGTAAAAATAAAAAAGTTAAGACTATTCATATCAACCACTTAGCAATGGGAAAGTGGTAGTCGGTTTGTAAATGGAATGTCCTTTAAGCCCAAAATAAATTGCCAAATCATTTAGTGGAGATAGTGCTGCCCAAATTAACAAATGTCATTTCCTCAAGTGATACCACTTTATTACGTGGGTTCACCTACAACCACAAAAAAGAAACATTAGTAACAAATTAACTTACCATAACTCATCATCAATTGCCCTATATTCTTTTCAATTATTCAAATATATTATTACTTAAATCCACTAATAAGATAAGGGTAATATATAATAAACCAATTAGTGCAATATCCACTTAAAGTTGTGGATTTCACACACCAAGCAGTTGTTATTCGTCGACTATAAAACTGGGCTTTGGGAGGCCATGTCTTCATCGCATTGAAGAACAAGCAGAGAATGGAGTCTCTCAAGAAATACACGTCTCTCCTGCTCTTTCTAGTGCTGTTTCTGGTTACTGCAAGGTCTGATTATTATGGGCAACAAAGGGGCGAGTGTGCCCCGTCTAATCCCGAAAGAGAGGCCTTCAAAATGATGCCGTGTTTATCTGCTTCCAAAGACCCTTACTCTCCAGTTTCTCATAGATGCTGCGATCAAGTCAGGAAATTAGGCCAAAGCACCAGCTGTCTCTGTGCCGTTATGTTGTCCAACACAGCTGCAATGGTTGGAGCTAAGCCTGAAATTGCTATCACCATTCCAAAACGTTGCAACATTGCTGAACGCCCTGTTGGCTACAACTGTGAAGGTTTGTATATCTACACTGATTAGAGAGGAGAACGAAACATTTATTATATGAATCCTAATGACTTTACATTTTGCAGGCTATGAACTACCTTGAAGCTGCGTTCTCTGCTCCAACTATGTTGCTCCAGCTATGTTGGAAGTTTAGGGGAGAAACATATGTATTGTGCTTATTGTAAACCTATAGTGACTTGCATCACTTGAGAAATAAATAAAAACATCGTGTTTGTCGTTAAAAAATTGTGTTGTCTCAATGATTTTATAGATAATTTTGTTGAGAGAAATAATTAAAAGAGGGTCATGTTTGGATGCATAATGGTAATTTTGTGCATCGTTGAGGCTTAAATGGTAATTTTGGTCAATATATAGTTTGACTTTTATAAAAAAAAAAAAAACTAAAGGTTACCAAAGAAGAGGTTACATATTTATAATGTTTGTTTATGGAAGATGAAGGGGAGAAAATAGAAACGGCGATTATTTTAAATAATTTTCCATTTATGCCCATTCGGCGTTCTGTGCCACATGAAAGGCCGTCTTCAGTGCCTTTCCCTCCGTTTTTCCGTTTTCTTTTCATTGGTTCTCTAAAATCCCTCGTCTTTCCTTAAAACTCGCTAATTAAATTTCTAAGAAATTTCAAAAAATTCCTAATCCAATTTCCACTCTCCCTTCCCAATCCATTCACCATTTTCTTTATGGTTAGTTCTTCCTTCTCTTTTTATCCTCCATCGATCGTGTTTTTTCTTTAAGCTGTTATTATGCACACAAAATGCGATTGCTACTGCGTTTCTTTCTTCTGAATCGTATGTCGTTGGATCTGGCAGGTGTTAGGCTTGGAATTTGTTTACGAAATTGATCAAATGGCTTACAAGGTGGATCACGAATACGATTATCTCTTCAAGATCGTTTTGATCGGTGATTCTGGCGTTGGAAAGTCCAACATTCTCTCAAGGTTTACGCGGAACGAGTTCTGTTTGGAGTCCAAATCCACAATTGGAGTTGAATTCGCTACGCGGACTTTGCAGGTTGGCTACGCTACCTCCTTTTTTTTATTCCTGTTCCTCCTTCAATTCGAAGTCATATCCGTATTAGGTATTAACCTCGATGAAGATCGATGAATTACTTCCTATAGTTGATCGTCAATTTATGTTACTTAATTAACAATTAGATAAGTCTTCGAGAATTTTTTATCAGGAGATTTCGGATCGATCACGACTAACTCGAATAAATTAGAACATCGCTATCATAATTGTATTAATAGGTTTGGGTTGATAATCCTCTCCTCCTTTCCCCCCAAGTATGAATCTGACTCGGAACAGTGCATATTGATGCACATTTTTCGTCCATTTCAATTGTTTATCAACGCATTTGAAGCACAAGTGTTTAGAATTAGACTGTGTGGAGTAAGTTAAAGTGTTTTTCGTCCATTTCAATGTTTATGAACGGATTTGAAGCACAAGTGTTTAGAATTAGACTGTGTGGAGTAAGTAAAGTGTTTTTCGTCCATTTCAATTGCTTATGAACGGATTTGAGGCAAAAGTGTTTAGAATTCGACTATGGAGTAAGTCAACAATGATCAACAATCGAGAATGACATTTGCTTTATCATTTTGAATTGAAAAATTGATTCTGTATGATTAAAGTAAATGAATGTTTAGAATTGGTTTGAGACAGGTAGAGGGGAAGACAGTGAAGGCCCAAATATGGGACACAGCAGGGCAAGAGAGATACCGAGCCATTACGAGTGCATATTACAGGGGAGCAGTGGGTGCACTTCTGGTATATGATATTACGAAGAGACAAACCTTTGACAATGTCCAAAGATGGCTACGCGAACTGAGAGACCATGCGGATTCCAACATCGTGATCATGATGGCCGGAAACAAGGCTGATCTGAACCATCTCCGGGCAGTTTCCGCGGAAGATGCTCAGGTTTTGGCAGAGAAAGAAGGGCTGTCATTTCTAGAGACCTCAGCCTTGGAGGCCTTGAATGTGGAGAAGGCTTTTCAGACCATTTTGCTCGACATTTACCACATCATTAGCAAGAAAGCTTTGGCCGCTCAGGAAGCCGCTTCCACCCCCGGCATCCCTCACGGCACCACCATCAACGTCGCTAATATCTCAGGCAATTACAACAAGAGAACTTGTTGCTCTAATTGATCTAGTGATGATGATGATGATGATGGTTTGAGGGAAACAAAACAAAGGGGGCTGGTGGTAGGAACTTAAAAGGAAGAGTCCCCCCCCCCCCCA